GCGCTGCCGATGACTCGACGCAACCGACTTCCCCGTAAGTGGAAGCGGCCGGCGTCGCGGTTAACCTCTTGGCGGGTATGTGGAGAGGACCTGGTGCACTGTTGCTCGCCACCGAGGAGGCGCTCGGCGACGTCGAGCTCGCGCTGGCCGTTGGCGCCGGTGGTGCGCTCGACGCCGGTGCCGCTGGCGAGGTCGGTGTCGTTGCTTGCTGATGGGAACCGGGCGTTGCAGTTTGTTGCTGTTGTTGTTGCTGCTGCTGTTGTTGCTGGATCGATACGAGGCTGGAGGCTGTCGGTAGGATCGGTGGCGGGCTGTCCTCGTAGAGGGAACCGTTCATTATGCCCCACCAGGTCACCCCGGTGGAATTCCCCGCTCCGGTGGCTGTCCCCATCGGCGTGACGGAGCCAGGGTGGCCCACGCCGGAGCCGCACAGCGGCGCGGCGTGAACATTGTCGTACAGCGTCGCCGTCGAGCAAGCCACGTGATCGGCGATGGTGCAGATGGTGACAGGTGATTGCCGGTGTTATAACCACGACGAGGACGACGCCCGGTACGGTTGCGCCGATCACGGCGTCGACAAGTCGTCGCGGTCGCGACGTGGCCGATTCGAGCGGTGGTAAGAAGTTGCGAGTGGTCCAAGTGGCGACGGACGATCGAGCGCGGGAACGATCGACGATCAGCGCGATTTTATTTTTCAGTTTGTTCGTTCAGCAGTAGAGAGGGAACAGCGATCGCATCGTCGTTTCACGCGATTGCGTTTACGACGCGAGCGTACGGATCCAAGGACGGACGCGGTCGTGGCAAGGTAACGTTCCGTGTAACGTTAGTCGAGAGCGATAGAGGAAAAGGGAAGAGTTATTACGGTCGATTTTACGAGGACGGTCGAGGCAATCGGCGCCGATGACCAATGGTCAGCGCGCGGGGCGAGTTCAAAATACCGTGCGTGCGTGCACGCGAGGCGACGAGCTCAGAAGACAGGGACGAGGAAGGAGGACACGGAGTTCATCGTGTGCGTGGCGTCGCGTCGCTCCGTGGAATCGCGGAATAAATAAAGAAAACGCGTGCGGAAGGCAAAGGAGGCGCGCGGTAGGTGGGGATTGGGAAAATTGTACGAGGCCGTGCGGGAGCGGTGTATTCGCGAGGAGGACGGAGGCCGGTGGCAGGAGAGGGTGTGCAGCGGCGCGGCAGACAGGTGGAGGGGTAGGTAGAGCGCGGGGCGGAGGGAGGACGGCACACGGCGATCCAGAAACAGAGAGGGACGAAGACAAACGCGGAGCGAGAGCGAGCGAGAGAGAGTATGAGAGTGCGAGAGGGAGACGGAGGAGGAAGAATGCGATAGAGAGAGAGATAGGACGACACGGAGAGGGAGACGAAGACGCCCAGGGGCGCGATAAAATGCGTAGCAAATCCGTGGAGAAAAGGTCCATGCACCACCACCACCACCACGACCACCACCACCGCAACAACGTCCAAGACGACGACCGAGGTTGATCGAGGTTGACGGGCGGCAGTCAGGACAGGCCACGTGCGAAGACGTCGTCGTCGATGAGGAATCGGTCCACGCACAATCGACCGGACGATCGAGTCCAATGTCGGATACGGGCGATGCGCGATGTTCCAAAGAACGAAAACAAAAAAAAACGACACAGCACTCTTTTAGAAAATTTTCAGTCGTTCGAGATGCCTCGTTGATGAAACGAACACAGGCGGTACTACGTTCGAGAACCTTTTCGATACACCGTGTAAAGAGGCGCGAAACGGTAATTTGAATTTTCGCAGGTGTCTCTCTTCGAAATCCGGTCGAGTCAGTCGATCTCGTTTCGCGCGTTCGACGCGGCTACGCGATCGTCGAACGTCACCGCGGACGACTGCTGCTCGAAACGATCAACAACGAGTGGTAGACGGCTGATACATGTCGCGGTCAGGACACTTGGCAATCGTGGTCTCCCCGGGTTGAGAAACGAACGCGTCGCGTTGTACGAACGGTACGAGCACGTTCCTCTCACTGCTCGACCGATCTTGCTATCGTCGTCCCGCTCCGGGCCATGCTCGAGCTGCATGTCGTCCCGTCTCCTTCCTCCAACGAAACTGTCACCCAGCTCATTACTCTCTTCTAATGCACACGCGACGTCTACTTCCGACCGCGCACTTTTCTCCTCTCTCTTTCCTTCCCTTGCCTACACTCGTCACTCTCTATCTCTCCTTGTCTCTTGTAAATTTTACTTCTATTCTCGTCACTCCGTGTATCCTTCCCAAACAATTACCAACTCCAAGTTCGATCGTCCACTCGAGTTTCGTTTTTCAATTCTCGATTGCACAGCTCGAGCGATCGTGGATGGAGACGAACTCGCCGTGGAGTATCGGCCGCGGTCAGGGGAAACGGAACGTTCGTGGTCGGACCGAGGATCTCCCTTTTTCTCCTTTTTTTTCTTTTCTTTCCTCTCTGGCCTGTCTCGTCCCCGGGGAAAGTCAGGTAGCGCGCGGCCTCTCGGGTATCTCAGGTAGAGAGAGACGAGCCGCACAGTCCCCGTGGAACCGTGGCTGCCGTGGCGGCGATACACACACGCGCGATGTTTACACACACGAAAAGACTCCCTTTCTTCTCTCTGGCCTCGCTGAGCCGAACTGAGCGTCAACTGAGAGCTCTGCCCGCGGCTCGGACGCGCAAACGGGCTGAACGCGACGCGAGCGCGATCTCTCGGATCGTTTGACAACCAGACCCTGGACGGACACGTCTCTCTCTTCCCCCTACTCCTATCCTCGCCTCCTCCCGCTCGCCCCCCTCGCCCCAAACACCATCTAATCTGCCTCTCTCTCCCTCCAGCCCGACGTCGCGAGCCGGAGAGCACAAACGTAGCGAGGCACGCATACAGACGAAAGCTGCGAGCGCCAGTGCAAGTATCGCGCGCGCGCTCTCCTCGTCACACGGCGCGTCTCCTTTTTCTTTCCAACTTCCAAAACGTATCGTGAGTTTAACTCGAGCCTCCTGGCCAGAAGAAACGAAAGGGAAACGGCTCTCTGACCCGGATTTGCGGGCCAATGGATGAATAGCAGGTGCTTCTCTTCGTTCGCCTCTCTTTCTACTACGGCTCCTGTTGTCTTTTCTTCTTTTTCTTTCCTCTTTCCTTCGATCGAGAGATTTTTCGCGCGCAATTTACGCTTCCGTGTAATTTTATCATTTATTCTCCTTTCTTAGTTCTTTACGATAGATGAATGAAGAACGGTTGATTTGTTCTGTTTGTACTTGAAGTAGGAACGGTTCGTTTCGCTTGGTAGATGTTCGAACGAGTTACGTATCGCGTTTAGCCGCGACCGCGACTTTTCTCGATCCTCGGCAAGTGCCGTCGTTGAACGCCGCGCCTTTTACGATACCCATTATCGCGTGGTATAACGACCAGCCGTTATCGTTGTTAAATTATTTGTTTACAGCCGTGTTGTTTGACCAGCCAGCAATTATTACAATTGGCCGAACTGTTGTTCTAATTATCGTTATCGGTACAGAACGAGCGGTATCCTGGAACCTGCTCTTTCTCGCGTAGCTGGGACGTGGAAACGTCGAAAGGGATGGAACGTATGATCTAGCATCAGGATCAATTTGATCGATGAGCAACTGTTATAATTTTCTCAACTGTTCTTTTAACGATCGTTACCGATACAGGACGCTTCGTATTCTATACCCTCAACTTGTTTTGTGTACAATGTGGGAACATCGAAGGGGATGGATCACATGATCTAGAATAAAAATCAATTTGACCAGTGGGAAATTATTGTAATTGGAAGAAGTGTTGTTACCAACAGAGAACGCTTCATATTCTATTCCCTCAACTTTTCTATGGAGAGTATAAGAATGTTGAAAAGGATGGATCACATGATCTACAATAAAAGTCAATTTGATCAGCGAGAAATTATTACGATTGGAAGAAATTTTGTTACCGATGCAGCAAGCTGCATATTCTATTCCCTGAACATTTTTATGTAGAATATGGAAACATTGAAAAGGGGAGGATCACATGATCTATCGTAAAAATCAATTTTGTCAGTGAGTAATTATTGCAATCGGAAGAATTGTTGTTCTAATCGTCGTTACCGATACAGGGCGCTCATATTGTACACCCTGATCCTTCCTACACCTACGCAACATCGAAACACCAAAAATGGGACACATGATCTATCGTAAAAGTCAACTGATCACCGAGCAATTATTATAATCGGATAGAAAACGCTTCGTATTTGACTACCTGCTTTTACGATAGATCACACATCTACATCTACGCAACATCGAAACACCAAAATGGAACACACGATCCGCCACAAAATCCAATTAATCCAAAAAGACCAAAATATAGACCATCTTAACAATTGTCTTCGTTCTCGGGACAGCAAGTTTCCAACAGGTCCAAGGAGTCGAACGAAGGAAGAACGGAGAGTCCTGGCTCGTTCTCCGCTATTGTTCACGCGTGACGTCACGCGCGAAAGGAGGAACGGATGATGTCTCGCGGTGCGTGGATCGGCGCGCACACACGGTCCTGCCTCGTCTATACGCAGACGGAACGCCGGCAATACGTCATGCCAGTATTGCAGTCTAAATCTCGGTACTTTTATGGGGCAGTAAAGTAAAACGGTCTGACAACAACTCCAGTGGCACATACGCCTTCCATCTGTCCATCAGCGTTCGCGCGCCACAAGATCGCGCCACGCGCGGGACCTCGCGCCTCTTAATCCACGGCCAAATTACCAATCAGCCGAACCCAACGACAACTCAGTCAACCCTCGTGTCTATCATTCGCGGTGCTCTCGAGAATCGACGCGATTCCTCCACTCGGCAATGATACATCAACGGAGCAAACTCTTCAAAATGACGGATCGTGGGTGAGCTGGTTTAAACGACAGAGATTGTTCAAATGGTTCTGCCTGAGTGCACAGCGATGTTTCGTTGGAAGAAAGAAATAATTTTGAATATGTTTGCTATCGCTCTTTATCTTTTTCTTTATTATTTTTCCTTACATACCGATTATTTGTGTTTTTATCAGCTTTACCTGCAATTAGAATAATTAGCACGTTCGTTACCAGCGTCGTACAGGTATACTTCTGGCTAAAAGTTTGAAAGCACTGTGCATTGGAAGGTGTATAAAAATTTCCAGAGAAAGTTAGCAATTTTGGCAAATTGCTACTGATCTTCGGAACATCAGTTTTAAATCTACGAAGGATTAATAGAAGAATGGTGATTCGAAATTTTTGGGCGGTAGTGCGTGACGCTGATAGCAGTAGGGTAATTCCGGGAGAGACGGACCAGGCAAGTATTTCCCACATTGTCCGCCAGATATGGAAGAGTGAAACAAATGTGAGATAAAAGAATACTGACGCGTTCCACATATGGCGGATAATGTAGGAAATACTTGCCTGGTCCGTCTCTCCCGGAATTACCCTATACCTAAACATACCACAATCGAAAGTGTATACTAAATTCAACTCCAATTCTTCT